CAAAAAAGAATCCCCCTCGTCCTCACGTACCACCCCACCAACCTCCGGATCCAACGCATCATCCTCCGACACTTCCGCCATCTGCAATCCGACCCCACCACCAAAGACATCTTTCCCTCCCCACCTTTATCTGCTTTCCGGAGGGACAACTCTCTCCGTGACTCCCTTGTCCGCTCCACACTCCCCTCCAGCTCCACCACACCCGGCACTTTTCCCTGCAACCGCAGGAAGTGCTACACCTGCCCCCATACCTCCTCCCTCATCCCCATCCCAGACCCCAAGAAGACTTTCCACATCAAGCAGATGTTCACCTGCACATCTGCCAATGTGGTATACTGCATCCGCTGTACCCGGTGTGGCTTCCTCTACATCGGGGAAACCAAGCGGAGGCTCGGGGACCGCTTTGCAGAACACCTACACTCGGTTCGCAACAAACAACTGCACCTCCCAGTCGCCAACCATTTCAACTCCCCCTCCCATTCCTCAGACGACATGTCCATCCTGGGCCTCCTGCAGTGCCACAACGATGCCACCCGAAGGTTGCAGGAACAGCAACTCATATTCCGCTTGGGAACCCTGCAGCCCAATGGTATCAATGTGGATTTCACAAGTTTCAAAATCTCCCCTCCCCCCACCGCATCCCAAAACCAGTCCAACTCGTCCCTGCCTCCCTAACCTGTTCTTCCTCCCACCTATCCCCTCCTCCCACCCCAAGCCGCACCTCCATCTCCTACCGACCAACCTCATCCCACCCCCTTGACCTGTCCGTCCTCCCTGGACTGACCTATCCCCTTCCCAACTCCCTACCTACACTCACCTTTCCTGGCCCCATCCCCGCCTCTTCGACCTGTTTGTTTCCTCTCCACCTATCCTCTCCTCTATCCCTCTTCTATCCGCCTCCCACTCTCTCCCTATTTATTTCAAAACCCCCTTCCCCTCCCCCTTTTCTGATGAAGGGTCTAGGCCCGAAACGTCAGCCTCTCTGCTCCTATGATGCTGCTTGGCCTGCTGTGTTCATCCAGCCCTGCACCTTGTTGTCTCGGATTCTCCAGCATCTGCAGTTCCTACTATCTCTGTATTGGAACAGTTTGGTTGGAAGTATGGCTAGTTCTTTTTTATTTGTTCATGGCATTTGGACATTGTTGACTAGGTCAGGATTTATTGATCAGCCTTAATTAACCTGGAGGTGGTTGTTATGACTTTAGAACCACCGCAATGCTTGGGGTATAGAAAGATTCAAAATGTTGCTAGGTGGGGAGTTCCAAGATCTTGAGCCAGTGGCAACAAAGGAATGGCAATATTTTTCCAAGTCAGGAGCTTACAGTTGGTGGTATTCCCAAGTATCACCATCACCTTATCAAAGCCAATTCGAGACGAGAAATAAATGTTCACCAAGCCAGCAAGATTCTCATCCCCTGAATGAGTTTTTGAATAGTTACAATGGTATACAACTTGGAGGGAAATTTGCAAGTATTAATGTTCTCAAGATCTGCTGCCCTTAACCTCCTAATGGGCAAATTCTCCTTCATCAGCTCTGCTGGTTATATCCTCAAAGAATTCTAGCAAATTGCCAAACATGATTTCACTTTCACGAAAACATATTGACCCTGTCTGATTGTGTTAAGCTTTTCTAAATATCCTCTTATGTCTTCCTTAATAATGGATTCTAGCATTTTCCCAACAAAAGATGTTAGCTAACTGGTCTATAGCGATCTGCTTTCTGTATCCCTTGCTTCTTGAACAGGGATGTCTCATGAGCAGCATTCTCACCACTGAACCAGTACTGCTCAATACTCTTGATGAAAATGGAGGATTAAGGATATGCTTGGCCATGTGATTACAACAGGCGAAAACAATTTCACTGTTGTGGTACATCATACTTCCTAGATGCCCAGTTTGAAGCTGCTAGATCTACTCTTAATTTATCCTACCAGGAATGTTGGCAAGGTTATCCAGCTAAACGTTTAAAAGCACAAATGTAAATGAGTTGGAGAAGAGTTTATTTCAAGGTGGACAACAAAGGAATTGGAGTCAGAAAGCAACATGGGCATGTGGAAGATGCAACTAAGTGATTAAATATTTTTATATTAGTCGTTCATGGGATCTGTATTTCTTTGATAAGACCAGCATTTAGTTCCTTTCCTCATGTTCCTGTAAGGTGACAATGGTGTTCTGAGGTAGTTTAACCGAAGGGCAATCACACCTTGGGCAAGAGGAGATATTGAGAAGGAGAGTCCTTTGGGGTAACCTCAGGCGATGTAGAAATGCCAAATTAATTTCAGTCAAATTAATCTTTTGCGTCTGTAACTTTCTACCTTTCGGGTATGCTGGAGCTCTTAAGTTGCTAGTTTTGAAACACTTCAAGATCAGAGTACCAGAAGCTAAGCATTTGCGAGATGATATGATCTGACTAAGTAAACGAGATGATAATAAAATTAGATTCAGTGAAGACAAAATAATGAAAATAATTACGGAACAATACAAATTCAGAACATACAATAGTAAGCTGATGAAACATGAAACAAGTTGCTACTAACGGTTCATTATTCAAACTGCATCTTAATCCTTTGAACTCTATGGCAGTGGAAGCTTTAAGAAACATGTATTTAAATTATGTGACTATTCATGACTAATATTTATTTGAATACCGTCTTCCATACCCAGTGGCACATGAAGTAAGTTACTTTGTCCACTACTTTTGTACACAGCAGATTGTGCTCTGAACTATTTCCATGTCTAGGACTCTCTTTACATGGACATTTGATTAGCTTGAGTGACCTGGAGTGAGGTGATGGCAAGAACAAGAATACTTAATAGTCCATCTTAAATATCAGCTGAGAATGCAAAACAAAGCTAGCTTACCTGTTTTAAAACTTCTATTAAAACTAAACAGAAAATGAAATCTATAGCTAAATCTCTTCGCTCAAGCAGATAATCTCTATCACGATGTTGTTCATCCCTGAAAAAGAGAACAAATTGGTAACAATTTATCATTTTTCACGATCTAGCTTTATGGAACTGGAAAGAAACACTGCACTTAGCATTTCTCATGATTGTGCGCACAAAATTAACAAATCAATTTAAATTTAATCTCAATAATTATGGGAAAATAAAATGCAGTTAGTAACAAGTGTAACAGAAATGCTTTGATATTTTGGTAGACACGCCCTAAGGTCAGCAGCAAGCGTGCACATTCCCCTTCCCAGCCTGGCTTCCCTCTGTGCCTATCCCTTTGGAAAAAAAATACAGCCCATAAATAGCACTTTCAAAACCCCACTTATTTATTTTTCATTCTACATCATTGCCTCCATCTTTGACCACATTCTCCCTAAAGAAACCATTATTTTGCCTCATTCTGGCCATTCCAGCAGCACAGCCACCAATTTGTCCATTCCATTAGCATGGTTCAAATTCAGCAGGTAATAGGGAAGGCAAATGAAATGATGGCCTTTATTTCAAAGGGACCGGAGTATAAAAATAGAGAGGCTTTGTTAAAACTATACAAGGTACAAGTCAGACCACAACTGGAATACTGTGAACAACTTTGGGACCCTTATCTAATGAAAGGTATACTGGCATTGTAGGCAGTCCAGAGAAGGTTCACTTGGCTGATACCAGATATGGACGCACTGTGTTATGACGAGAGGTTGAGTAGATTGAACATGTACTCTTTGTAATCAAGAAGAATAAGACAGTGACCTTGTGGAAAAAAAAAATTCTTCAGGAGCTTGACAGTGTTGATGCAGAAAGGTTGTTTCCCCTTGTGAGAGTGCCCCGAATAGAACTGGGAGTGGTACATTTAAGACAGAGATAAGGATGAAATTCTTCTCTCATATGGTAGAAAATTTGTGGAATTCTTTACCACAAAGGGTGGTAGAGGCTGGATCATTAAGTATATTCAAAGCTGAGAGACAAGGTTTTTAATCAATAAAGGAAATAAAGGGTTATGGGAGAAATGCAGTCTTGTATAGTTTTAGCAAGACCTCCCTATTTTTATGCTTCATTCCCTTTAAAATAAAGGCCAACATTCTATTTGCATTTTCCATTACCAGACCTTGTATGCAAAAAGAACAAAATCAAAATTCACTTTACTCAAGGTGCATGTTTATGCACCTTGTAGTAATGAAGTGAGATAGTTGTTCTGTCAAGTCTCTAGTTAGTTGAGTGCCAAACACCATATGGTTTGGAGCAGAAAACAATAAATGCAGAAATAAACTGACAGCCTTGAGAGTTTGTCTACACTGAACAACTAGCAATAGTCTGACTCTAATTCTCATCCTATGCCTCCTAATCATAGAATCCCCAACTAGCAGGAATAGTTTATCTTCATGTGGCATGCTATGTGATCTGGTTGTCACGAGGGTGTTAGAACCCTTCCTCATTTTTGAGTCTTTTGTCAATATAATTTTTGGTTTGGAGCTGTGGACTGTGAGCTGAGAGCTACAACTCACCTTTGGACTGTGAGCAGCTGCTAGTTTTTTGCTTTTTAAAACAAAACAGAACAACAAACTAATATTTGCTTGTCAGGCCAGGCAATTGCAGGTCAATTCTTGCTCAAAGAATGCTCCAGATGTTTCAGTTCTGGAGAAGCATTATGCTCCAACAGCTAAAGTTAACAGGGGCTTCACAGGGAGACAACTAATGTAAGAGAGAGAGAAACCAAACCTTGAACTGGTTTTTGAACTGCATTATCAGTAGGGACTGTGCCTGTGAAAGCTACAGGATGGAGGTTTGATTGCTCTCTGGTTATCAATACCAATTTATTGAAAGTTTGGAGAATAGAACCTCAGGTATAAGCGAATATTCCTCAGATTATCAGAAGCAAATTGCATGCATTGGTGTCAACAGAAACCAAGCAAGACACAATCCCAGAGATAGTAGGAACTGCAGATGCTGGAGAATCTGAGATAACAAGGTGTAGAGCTGGATGAACACAGCAGGCCAAGCAGCATCAGAGGAGCAGGAAGGCTGACGTTTCAGGCCTAGACCCTTCTTCAGAAAATCCCATGTGCCTGTGATGTTACGAATGGAGGATTCGGAAATGGCCAGTTACATCTCTTTTTTTTATACAGTCACATAACACAGAAATAGACCTCTCTGTTCAACCAGTCCATGCCAAACATAATCCTAAACTAAACTAGTCCCACCTGCCTGCTCATGGCCCATATCCCTCCAAACCTTTCTTCTTCATGTACTTTCAAGAAGCCCCTCAACAAATACATGAATAGGCAGGGAATAGAGGGATCCTGTAAAAGACAGTTTTAGTATGGAAGGGCAAAATGTGCTGGCGCAGGCTGGGAGGGCCAAAGTTACTGTGCTGTATTGTTCTTTGTTCTACTTACTGAAGTGTCTTTTTAGCATTGTAACTGTGCCTGTATCCATCAGTTTCTCAGGAGGTTGATTCCACATGTGAAACAATTTGCCTCTCATGTCCTTTTTTTAAAAACTCTCTCCTCTCACCTTAAAATTGTGTCCCCTAGTCTTAAATCCCCCATCCTAGGGAAAAGGCACCTACCATTAACATTATCTACACCTTTCATGATTTCATAAGCCTCTATAAAAGATCGCATCTCAGCCTATGTTCCACTTAAAAAAGTCCATACTATCCAGCCTTTCTTTATAACTCAAACTTTCTGTACCCAGTAACATCCTGGTAATTTTCTTCTGAACCCTCTCTAGTTTAATAATATTCTTTCTATAACAGGGCAACCAGAAGCGGATACAGTACTCCAGAAGAGATCTCACCAGTGTCCTGTACAACCCCAACATGACATCCCAACTCCTATAACTTAAAGTCTGAACAATGAAGACAAGTGTGCTAAACGCCTTCTTAACCACCTTGTCTACGGTGATGCAATCTTCAAAGGATTATGAATCTGAATCCTTAGGTCCCTCTGTTCAACAACACCACCCAAGACCCTACCATTAGTTGTACAAGTCTTACCCCTGTTTGTTGTACCAAAATGCAATATCGCATATTTATCTAAATTGAACTCCATCTGCCATTTTTTAGGCCATTGACCCATTTGATTAAGATCCCTTTGCAATCTTAGAAAACCTCCTTTACTGTCAACTATGCCACCAATTTTGGTGTCATCCTCAAACTTACTAACCATGTGTTCTATGTTCTCATCTAAATCATTTACATAAATGACAAACAACAGAGGACCCAGAACCAATCCCTATGGAAAAGTGCCAATGACAGGCCTCCAGTCTGTAAAGCAACCTTCTACCACCACTCTCTGTCCCTTGCCATTGAGCCAATTATGTCTCCATTAGCAAGCTCATCCTGAATCCCATGTGACCTAACTTTACTAATTAGTCTACCATGTGGAATCTTGTCAAAGGCTTTACTAAAGTCCAAATAAACAATTTCTACTGCTCTGTCCTCAATCTTTTTGGTACCCTTAAATGTGTCTGTTTGTCAGTCTTTCAGACAGTGGGAGGCTGAAATCAATGAAGGTTGCATTAAATCATACAGCTGAATTAGATTACCTTGTAGTTTAACCTGGCCCTGCCAAGCCTACTGCATTAATAATAAATTATTAACTGTTTTGTTTAAGCTATAAACTTGGTGTCTGGTATTGGTCATTCACAAAGTATGTTGGGGTTGTACAGGACACTGGTTAGACCTCTTCTGGAGTACTGTATCCACTTCTGGTTGCCCTGTTATAGAAAGAATATTATTAAACTAGAGAGGGTTCAGAAGAAAATTACCAGGATGTTACTGGGTACAGAAGGTTTGAGTTATAAACTATGGTGCTGGTTATTCAAGGAGTCTGGTAAGGAAACATTAGGGTGAATTTTGGAGGTCACTGAATGTTTTAATTGCAAATACAGGGATAGGGAGGATGATTTGATTTAGCTGTCTGTCTCCATGGCATAAGAAGGCAAAAACTCAAACAGAAACCTAATTAATTCAAGTGACAGTTCTCACACTTTTAAACAATCGCTGAAAGGGGAAGCTGCATTTTGGAATTGGGAAAGAGATAGTGGCTCTGCTGGCAAAGCAGAAGAATGTGTCCTGTAAATAACCAGGCAGAATGCATTAGAGGGTTGGTTTTCTATTTGAAGGGATTGGAATAGAACTGCCAAGACTTTTGGAGATTGACACAACAAAGAGTCAAAGTGGACCTTATTGGTGAAAATCAGATCAGGAGTGGAATGACCTGTGGCATTCCTTACCACAGAAGGTTATTGAGATGTGTCATTACGTATGTTCAAGGCTAAGATTAAATATATTTTTAAATAGTAAGGGAGGGGAAAAGGCAGGAAAGTGGATTTAAGGATTATCAGATCTGCCATGATCTGATTGAATGTCGGAGAAGACTTGATAGGCTGAGCAGTTTACTTTGCACCTGTTTTATGGTCTTATCAATTTTTGAAGAATACTAGAAGTTTTGATTTAGCATTTAGGGAGAAGTGAATGCTGAGAGCTGGAAGTTGCGATAGATTTGTTATTGATTAGTCAACAAGTGGACTCTGATTGGTAGAAAATGTACTAGTTATTCATTGTTGACAGTTAATTTGTTCAAATTTTATACAAGGCAGATTGACCCTGATTAGTCCAGACATTGAACCATACATAATGAACCAAAGAATGGCTGTCCATCTTTTGTTGAGTTGAAACAGGTACAGTATGCATACACGTTCTTTCTGTCCACAAAGAATAGGGTCCTGTGTAGCTACCAGTACATGCAATTGATCCACACTGACAATCTTAAATTGGTTATCAGCGTAACACTTCACACATTCAGGATCATTCAGAAAATATTATCCGATCACAGAATCACATCAAATATTGGACACAGTGTTGAGAGTTTTACAAGCCCAGATTTAAATTGGTTATGTGAGCACCTTGCTTGTTGCAAACAGCTGAAGGGATAGGTGTTTACTACAATCCACCAATTTTTGGGATGTATGACCTACAAGCCTAGTATCATACCAGCACTGACTCATTTGAGAGATAAACAGAACATCCTTCTGGCTCAACAATAGCATCCTGTTAGTGCAGAATACCAGTTGTGTTCCTACTGCATTGTAGATACTTAGACAAGCTTCACTGTGAACAATTTTAAAAATGTTTTCTAGTTATTGAAAAGTAAGAAAATTAAGTTACCCCTTTGATTTTGTACTTGACCGTGGCCTATATTCATAGGATTCATCTTCTGTTCCATTCTGCCGTCTGTACCAGTCAAACAAGGTGCGAAGTAGAGAGGGAAGGCAGTGTTCTGCTACTGAGCTCATCGAGCTAATCACCTGAAAAACACAAAACAGCACATAAATAAACCAACTCTCAACGTGTAAAGTACCCAAATGCTTCTTCAGATGATAAAGAAAAATGCTTTACTTCAACCCAGCAAACCTTGCCACAAACCCATCACTGTTGCTTGCCTTGAAAGGCAATTTAACTTGTGTCACCAGTACTTTTTTTAAAAATGCCATTATAATGAATACTGAGGCTGGTACCCAGAAATTTTCACACCGTCCATGCTCCCTTATGTATTAATATAAAAATGTATTAACATAATAAAATCCAACTGGTTCATGGATGTCCTTTAGGAAAGGAAAGCTGCAGTCCTTTTCCAATCAGGCATGTATGAGATTCTAGTCCAATCCCAGCACTGTGACTGTAAACTGTCTTCCAAGGTGGTTTACCAAACCTTGAATTTGTTAGGGATAGGAAAACAGATATCTCAATTCAGCAATAAATCTCTCTGAAGTGTCAATGTCAACTACTTTCAGTGTACAGTAAGAAGAAAAGCTATAGGAGAAGAATTAGGCCATTTGGCCCATCAAGTCTACTCCACCATTTGATCATGGCTGATACGTTTCTCAACCTCATTCTCCTGCCTACTCCCAGTGCAGTACGATTACCGATTATATACCAACCTAAGAAGTGACATTTGTATGCTGAGAATGAATAAAATAAATACATGAATGATTTTGGAAAATAAGTCTTCTGCGGTATATATGGACACTAAATCTGCTTTAAGGTACACAGGGGTCAGTGCTGGATCCCCAACATTTTATAATTTATATCAATGATTTAGGTGGACAGTTTCAAAAGCATGTCATCTACAAATTTAATTTCCAGTTTGTTGTGAAGTAAATATAAGGATGAGTTAAGTGAATGGGCAAAAAGTCTGGCATTTTTAAAAAAAGATGGTGTGTAATGTAGAAAAAAGTGAAGATGTTCACTTTGGCAGGGAGAATAAAAAGGCCGAGTATTATTAATGGTGAACAACTCCAGAATTCCCAGGTACAGAAAGAGTTAAGTGCTCAAATGCACGAGTCATAAAAAAGTTATTATACACGTGCAGCAAGTGATTAATGTGGTTAATGGAATGCTATCCTTTATTATTAAAAGAGCAATTGAACAGAAAAGTAAGGATATTTTGCTTCAAATACACAAGGCATTGGTGAGACCACATTTCAAAAACTCTGCTGTTTTGCTGTCCTTATTTAAGGCAGGACACAAATGTTTTGGCAGCAGGTCAGAGGAGGTTTAGTAGATCATACCTGGAATGAACGGGTTGTATTATGAGGATAAATTGGACAGGCTAGGCTGGTTTTCATTAAACAATTCACCCCTTGTGATAACTCTAAAGTTTATAAGATCCTGAATGAGCTTGACAAAGCGGACATGGAAAGGATATTTCCTCTTGTGGGTCACTCCAGAACTAGGTAACACTGTTTCAAAATTAAGGATAGCCATTTTAGGACAAAGGTGAGAAGAATTTCTTCTCTGAGGTTTGTACAACTCTGGAACTCTTTGCCTCAGAAGGCAATGGAGGTGGGGTAACTATTTTTTAAGGCAGAGGCAAATAAGTTCTTGTTAAGCAAGGGAATCAAGTGGAATTCATAATACAAGCAGTTCAGGTATGATCTTATTGAACAGCAGAGCAGGCTTGGACGGCCTTCTGTTCCAAATTCATCTCTTTGTACATCAATCAAACAGGTTAGGCTAATGTGTATAGGTGCCAGGTTTTTTCTTTGTCCAGACTATTTTTTTTAAAAAATCAAACTTAAATCTTCAAATCCCAAAGGATGCTCATTCTGTCAAATAGAGCAGGCCTCTTGATGAGGAGTGTTGTTACACAATCATTAGTAACACAAATCAAAAGGTGAGTAACTTCAAGTGGATGCAGTTAAAGAGAGCAAAAAAGTATTACAAATCGATGTATAATTCACAGTCCTCTCATAGACTATGTTCTGCTAATCTAACCATCAACATTTTACAGATATATTTGTCAAGAGTTCAAATATTAATCTGCATTGTAAGCAAAGACGGGCTTAACTTCACATTCCTCCATTTGACAACGTTTTCTGTGCATTGTGCCATTAGGGATTGCAAACACAACAGATGCTAACAATTCTAGCTATTTTGAAGATTCTCTGCCTGAATGAGGGAAATACAGAGAGAGAAAGAGCATCTTTAACAAGTTCTTTAACAAGAAATGTGGTGGTGCTCTGCACTCAGTTGCTTTTGTAAATGCATAAACTTGAATCCAGATGGTTCAAATCCCTCAACTGATATAAATTGATATTTAAAGTCACACATAAAAACACCTTCAAAGCTTGGTTCCAACTACACTTCAGTCAGAAAAAAAATCTTTGAAGTAAAAGGAGGTAGAAACTTATCATATTTACCAATCAATGCAATTTTTTTTTTACTTAGTTTGATTAGCAACTCTGGATTTCAATGTATGCAGTTCTGGTGAACAGTCACCGGATTGGAAACATTAACTCTGCTTTCTTCACATAGATGCTGCCAAACTTGCTAAGTTTCACCAGAAATTTCTGTTTTTATTTCAGATGTCCAGCATCCACAGTTTTTGATTTATTACAACATAGGGAGAATTATTTGCATTTATCTCCGAAACGCTACAGTTGTATTTTGAAAGTTGGTAAATCTTACCCATCAAAACAACTTGCTAGCTGGTGCTTTCACTCCTCTGTGATCACATTCATTATCTTTGAGATTGATCATTGACTCAACTTCCAGTTTCCAAACCCTGGTCATAGCCACCTCCTGCCTTAATCTTCAACCTAGTCCTGACCACCTAGAAGTTCTTTGTACTTTTATAATCAACACTAAGTCTGGCAGCAATCCTCACACTTGGCCTTGAATCGATTTTTAGCACAGAGAATTTATTTCAAAGTGCTTAGTTATTGTCAAGCTCTTTGAGAAAACCTGTAGTCGGGAAATGCATGCAAATGCAACCTCTTACTTTCTGAAGATTTTTCAATCACTGGGAAAACTACATTTAAGATAATAATTCAGCCTTATTTTGATTTGTTCAGGTTTGCTAAGTCACCGCTCAGTGAATAATTTTAAAAACCCCTCTTCTACCAATCCAATTTGATCATAGAATCATGGAAGCAGGCCATTTAGCCCATCGAGTCCACACTAACCCTCCAAAGAGCAACATTTCCACCCCAAGACAACCCCCACCCCCTCCACCCTCATTACTCAGCTCTTGACCTCATTACAGCCTGGTCTAAACATGAACAATACAGCTAAATTCCAAATACAAGAGTGACTGCCCTAGACAAAGAAGCATCAAACCAAATGCAACACAGATTCCCAGTAAGATTTCAATGGAATCAGTGGAAAACTCTCCACTGGTTGGAGTCATACTTAGCCTAAAGATACCTCTGGTTTTTCAAGCAAATTAACTCCACTCCAGAATACTGCTGTCAGAGTTCCATGGGATAATGTACCAATGCCAATCACCTTCAGCAGCTTTCTCAATGGCCTTCTTCCAATCCAAGATCAGAATGAGAATGTGTCCTAATGACTAATGTTCCATGCCATATGCAACTCTACAGATACTGAAGCAGTACAAACCCATGGGCCGCAACTACTGGACAGCATTCATGCTGGGACTGATAGTGGCAAGTATCACTCACAACCACACAGTTGCCAAGAAATGACCATCACCACCAAGAGACTATCGAACCCATCTCATCTTGACATTTGATAGCATTACCATCACTGGATCACCTACCAACAACACCTTATGGATTACTATTGACCAGAAACTGAACTGGATCAATCATTTGGAACAAGTAACCTACCTTCTAGCTCTCCAAAGCAAGCCTCTCAATGATCTACAAAATATGTCAGGAGTGTGATGGCACTGCACCTAACCAAACATGTTCAAACAACACTCAAAATGCTTGACACCATATCAGAAAGTAGGTTACTTGAGCGACACATCATCAAAAAATGTTATCATCGAGTCCTTCAATCAGTGAGGCAGAGCTGCAGTGTGTATCTTCCACAAGATGCACTACAACAAAATGCCAGGGCTCCTTTAACATCACCTTTCAAATCAACAACCTCTACACCAATACTTAAGTGCAAAATAAGTTAAAAGCAGAAAAGTTAAAAATGCACCAACATTACTCAGTCCCAGTGTATGCATGTCCTACGCTCTTCCAAATATTCCATGGCTTTGCCAACCGCATCTAACTTCAACGTTTTTTTCAAATGTTTCCTCCAACCCAACTAATGTGTTACCATGTGTAATATTAACATGTTATAAATTGCTCTTAAAGACAATGATTACAATTGTAGCTGAATAGCAGATCACCAGACTGTTTTCAATGCAGTAAGTTCATCACTAATGAAAGAAAAATTCTCGAGATATGACTATTACTGACTAGATCACATTTCTCGGCCATTGCGAGTTGTATGATTGTGATGTGGGCCTTTTGCTTGAACTACTGCATTTCTTGAAACATTACACTCAGTGTGAATTATGTGTACGGTTTTAGGCGTGCACATTGGAGAAAGTGCATAAGACGTTTACAAGAATGGTTCCAGGAATGAAATCTTCAGTAATTAAGGGAGAGTGACGTAGTTTGGACTGTTATTCTCGGATAGAAAGGCTAAGAGGAGATTTGATAAAAGTCTTGAGGAGGGTTGGCTTAGTTGTCAAGGAAACAACAATGGTAGTTGAATGGATTATCTTCATCTTAACAACAATGTCCAAGAGCTCCTCAGAACTGTTAGAACCAAACATGGAAAATGTAATAGAGAGATTTAAAGAGATGGTTGCAGTGCTAAAGAGAGTCTGGGGCTTAGGTTTTGCTTACCAGAGTGAGGCTGAAGCAGTGGGTGGTTTTGGTAGAAAAGAGTGGCCCAATATTATGGCCTTGTGTTTCCTGCAGATGTGCTAAGAGAAAGAACGGATAATATCAACATTGTTGAGCTTGTCTGCTTCATAATAACAGGATTCATGATGCATCAAATGCTTGATCATGGTGTAATAAGAATTCAAGGATGAGTTTCAACAACAGCTTCTTGTCTGAGGCAGTTATATATTATTTAAATATAATCTAGTCCTAGAAATTACATCTGTTAATATTCTGTGTGTAATACCTTTTATCTTTGTCAATTTCTTTCAGTTAGCTACTTTATACTGTCAAGCTTTTAAATATTTCATGCCAATAATACAATTTCCCAAATCCTTTGTGTTGAAAGCTTTCAAATTTGCTTAAACAAATAAAACAGTGCTAAGATCAACACTCGGTTTACAACTAAAAATTTCCATCAGGATGGCTGCAGATCAGATCTTTTCTGCACTGAGTTAATAACTCCGAGTTGAATCATAAAAAAAATGGCTTCAGCATTTCTGGAATATGGAGGAATGGAAGACCAAGTCAGTCAAAGCTCCTGTTTCTGACCATCTCAGTGACTTCATACATATGATCATAAAAGGCCAACAGATGTTTTCCATCCAATGATAACTACCACATGATATCAGAATAAGTTACAACACAAAACCAAGTCTGGGAGAAAGACACGCAAAACAAAACAGCACATTTAAATTCAAATTCCTATTTAAACACATAAGTGCACAAAGACCCCAGTACATGCTGACACGCTCCCTTTCCACTCCATGTTAGTTATTGGAGCAATATACAGATATTACAGCTACACTTCCTATGTATTACACCGACAAGTGCATTATTTTCGTGAAAGTTAATAAACTACTATAACTGCAGCTTGAATACCAATTGGATTTAAAAGAGAAAAAATTTGGACAGTAATGTAAGTATCAGAATTAATTGCAAAAGTACCTTTGCATATATAATCATACATAATAAACAGTAACAAAATGTTGGCTCTGACAGCATGAATATTCTTATGTCATAAAATGTAATACACCAATTTTCTTACCTGATCAAACTGTAAATCTTCACCTCTTTGCAATGACCTGGACAATGGTTTCTCCTAAAATGTAAATAATTAGAAAAAGAAAATTGTGACCAACAACATCATTCAAATAGTATAAATAATTCTTCATCAATAGTACCTGAAATGGTTGAGGATAAACTACAAAACTGGAGTCAATCACTGCAGATGACTGGAATCTGTACTGAAAATAAAAAATGCTGCAGATCACAGTGGGTCAGGCAGAATCCATGGTGAGAAAGCAAGCTAACGTTTCAAGTCCAGATGACTCTTCTTCTGAGCTGATGTGAAATGTGGAGGGGGCAGCATTTATGCAATCGTTTGTTGGGGGTGGTGGTGAAGTGAGGCAGGTGGAATGAACAAAGAACAAAGAAAATTACAGCACAGGAACAGGCCCTTTGGCCCTCCAAGCCTGCGCCGATCCAGATCCTCTATCTAAACCTGTCACCTATTTTCCAAGGATCTGTATCCCACTGCTCCCTGCCCATTCACGTATCTGTCTAGATACATCTTAAATGACGCTATCGTGCCCGCCTCTACCACCTCCGCTGGCAATGCGTTCCAGGCACCCACCACCCTCTGCATAAAGAACTTCCCATGCATATCTCCCTTAAACTTTTGCCCTCTCACCTTGAAATCGTGACCCCTAGTTATTGAGTACCCCACACTGGGAAAAAGCTTCTTGCTATCCACCCTGTCTACACCTCTCATGATTTTGTAGACCTCAATCAGGTTCCCCCTCAACCTCCATCTTTCTAATGTAAATAATCCTAATCTACTCAACCTCTCTTCACAGCTAGCGCCCTCCATACCAGGCAACATCCTGGTGAACCTCCTATGCACCCTCTCCAAAGCATCCACATCCTTTTGGCGACCAGAACTGTACACAGTATTCCAAATGTGGCTGAACCAAAGTCCTATACAACTGTAACATGGCCTTCTTGACCACTCTATCCACCTGCGTTGCCACCTTCAGGGTACAGTAGACCTGAAAACCCAGATCTCTCTGTGCATCAATTTTCCCCAGGGCTTTTCCATTTACCATATAGTTCGTTCTTGAATTGGATCTTCCAAAATGCATCACCTCGCATTTGCCTGGATTGAACTCCATCTGCCATTTCTCCGCCCAACTCTCCAATCTATCTATATTCTGCTGCATTCTCCGACAGTCCCTTCACTATCTGCTACTCCACCAATCTTAGTGTCATCTGCAAACTTGCTAATCAGACCATCTATACCTTCCTCCAGATCATTTATGAATATCACAAACAACTGTGGTCCCAATACGGATCCCTGTGGAACACCACTGGTCACAGTTCTCCATTTTGAGAAACTCCCTTCCACTACAACTCTCTGTCTCCTGTTGCTCAGCCAGTTCTCTATCCATCTAGCTAGTACACCCTGGACCCCATGCGACTTCACTTTCTCCACCAGCCTACTATGGGGAATCTTATCAAACGCCTTACTGAAGTCCATGTATATGACATCTACAGCTCTTCCCTCATCTATCAACTTTGTCACTTCCATAATTACATAAAAGAAAAACACAAACTATATCACATCTGGCAAGAACTATTGCAGCAATTTTGTTACAAACATCACATAATCCCCTTTAGCCCAGCAATACCCATAAATAATGCTTGGGAGAAAGGATGTTAATAGTTCAGATTAAGTGATTGGAATGCGAGAATGGCAGAACAATTGTGCGTCTAACTGCCTGAATGGAAAGAACAGACCATGACCCCACATCTGAATATCAAGCCATTGTTGCCAGGACTGTCACAGATCACTACCTTTGGAGGTGACCCCTACCAGTGCCTCCAAACTTACAGTCTCCCAACTCCACTTCTACCTCCTTCCCAAAATCCACAACCTCCACAACACCAAAAATTTTGGTGTCATCTGCAAACTTACTAACTATACCTCCTGTATTCACATCCAAATCATTTATGTAAATGACAAAAAGCAGTGGATCCAGCACCGATCTTTGTGGCACACTGCTGGTCACAGGCCCAGTCTGAAAAACAACCCACCTCCACCATCCTCTGTCTATTTAGTTTTAATAAAAGAACATACAAGCATAAAAGTGCATTACATAAAAGAAAAACACAAACTATATCACATCTGGCAAGAACTATTGCAGCAATTTTATTACAAACATCACAAAGATTAATCCCCTTTAGCTCAGCAATACCCATAAAGATGCTCAAATTTCTGTGAGGAGTTACCCTTAACTTCACATTAAAACAAACTGCTATTCTCAGCTTACTATTATTTACATGAGTTTCATAAACACTCGTCTTCTTCTCTGACAGCCCCAAATGCTTTCTGTTTTATTTTCTTACTGACTTCTAAGCATATTAGGACTTCTCCCCAGCGCTGACTGCGTGGAAACTACACCAATAGCACCCTCCATTGTTATGGCCATTTCTCCCAACATGAACCTGCTGCTGTCCCTCTCCCTGTCCCCTCAATTAATTCAATGTTCAAAATTACTATCTGATCTTCAAGATTAGATTTTCACAGAACTGAAAACCAAAATCCATTTTCCAACACTTTAAAACACAGGTTCTCAACTAATATACTATAAACCTTCATAACAAATAGGAAGGGCCAGGATTCTGTGAACTGGTTAAATTTTAGAAAACAAGATCAGAATGCTGTAACATGAAACAAGTAAGTAATTGGTTCACGAGCATTCTCCTTGTTTATCTGTTGAGACTTGTGTAATTTGCTAATATATATTCTAAACGTAAGCTTAAAGCAAAGCTGGGCAGCTTGGTTGAGTGGAATTCCCATCTAGTAGCATGCAGGGAACTGTGGATGCTTCACATGGACTAGACAAATGCACGGTGTGAAAGTACCACCAGCTGTAGAAACGTGAGCTCCAGGTTTCAAAACTTGGGCAATGTCAGGAGTTATTGTCATGCAAAGCTTAGAACTATATTCTGGGGCAGGTGGGAAGTGTACAAGGAGGACTGCTTGCGTCTTAACAGGAGCGTTACTTGTATCACCAATGGGAGATTAGCTGGTGCTATTGGGAAGAATTTAAACTCACTTGTCAGAGGATGAAAATCTGAGAGGGAATTCAGACAGGATAAAAGCAAGGCTAGTTATGGGAAGTGAAAACAAAAGGCATAAGTGAGAGTGGAAAGCAGTAGTTAACAAATGCTAATATCAAATGGAGTCAAAAGACAGAATAATGTTAAAAAGGCAGAATTAAAGGTTGTTCATTTGAATGCATGCAGCATTGTGAAGTCATGGCACAAACAGAAATAAACAAATATGATATAATTGCGTTAACAGGTGTTTTGGTGCAGAATGTCCAACTGCAGCCAAATCCACACAATATCCAGGTTTGGGTGGACCATCTTTGACAAGAGAGAACCTAAACAATTACAGAAGTTGCTGGAAAAGCTCAGCAGGTCTGGCAGCATCTGTTATGCTTGAGGGAGGGTCACTGGACCTGAAACATTAACTCTGATTTTTCTCTTCGTAGATGCTGCCAGACCTGCTGAGCTTTTCCGACAACTTTTGTTTTTGTTCCTGATTTATAGCATCTGTAGTTCTTTCGGTTTTTAATCTAAACAATCACCTCTTGACATTCAATAGCATTGCAATTGCGAAATACCTTAACAACCTGAGGATTACAATTCCTCAGAAACTAACTGGATTGGTCATAATTTAAAAATACCACAAATAACTCGGGGCCCAAGCACAGATCTTTGCAGTCCCCATTTGTCACTGCCTGCCACTCAGTAAAAGATCCATTTATTCCCACTCTTTGGTTTCCTGTTGGAGGAGGAGATGGCAAGAGACAGTGTGTTTGGTGGCATCACGCTGGAGATGGCGGAAATGGTAAAAGGATGATATTTTTGGACATGGCAGTTGGTGGAGTGGAAAATGAGGACAAAAAGAAGCTGAACAAGCTTCTGAGAGGGATGGAATGGAGTAAGAATAGAAATGTGGGCAATAGGTCAGACACAGTTGAGCACTCTGTCAGTCACAGTCAGGGGGAATACTCAGTTGAAGGAAAAGGAAGGCATATGAAAAGTGCTGTTGGGTTCTGAAAAAGTGATAAGTTGGGTTTGAAATATTTTTCTCTCTCTGTCTACACTGATGCTGCCGTACTGAAGAGTTACTTCAGCATTATCTTTTTATTTCAAGTCTCCAGCATCTGCAATATTTTGCTTTTAATCTTATTGTGCACGACATGTAGCCTAGCAAATGCACTGAATACCACAACTAAAGCTCAGTGTCTCCTTTCAGGTACACTTGTTCAGTTAGTCTACAGAACTTAGAAAAGAACTGGTTCCAGTTCAAAAAATATTAAACATTCATTGTTCATCACCTGCAAGCACATGAAATTGTTACACGTTAAGGCAATACAACTGAAGTACAACCCTAAGCTAGCAATCTAAACAAACTATTATTGAAACTAACCACCTTTATTAAATTCACACTTAATGGAAATGATTATAGGTCAGTGAAAAATGCTGCTTTATTATTATTTGTTGTTCATGCTGCATGGGTATTATATGTTTAACATAAGTTATTTTAAGCAGTTCCTTGTTTAAGTCTCAAAATAAATTTTCAATATATCTCAAAACAAGTGATTTGTTGCTATGACAGTTCAATGTACACTGGCCTGTCCATTTAGATCAAAGTTCAACCCCACAGCTCAACTGTCCTGACATCAAAACATTTCTTTCTCTTTCTTTTCAATCTCAAAGCAAATTGTCCACATTATAGTGAAGTAGTCGTGTTCCCAGGATTGAGGCACATTTCAGGGCATGTTGAACAGAATTAATTCACATAAATTTAAGGAGAAATAACATGCGCTGAACAAGTGGCCAGTCTTTTCATAATCTGCTTCCCAAGTTCAAAATTAACAAAAAAAAGACAACAGCAAGTTGATAAGCAAGTGAGATGGGAACAGATGTAAACAGTAATTCAAATTTGGACAAAGGTTTGACCATTGGAATTAGGATTTAATGAAATGTATGTGTATATTTGCTCAATTATAGTCGATTCTAGTCTATCCAGC